TGGACTTCCTGATAGTAAAGAATTACAATAGTCCAGCCTTGAAGTAACAAATGCATGGACTAGTTTCTCAGCATCACCCCTGGACAGGATATTTCTAATATTTGCAATGTTCCGAATAGTTCCATCCTGACAGCAAAACCAATAAAAACGATGTTGCAAACAGACCTTGGGGTGATGTGGCAATAATGTGGGGAAGTGTAAATTCAATGAAAACCAGCTATCCAGCCAAGAGATTTCTGCACGGCTAAAAGCATTACCAGGTAATATATATGAGAAATGACGTTTTTTGAGCAAAAAGTCAATCAAGCTCGGTACGATGGGAATTAAAGCTGTGGAGTCAGACATGTGAAGAGTTAAAAACAAAGCACCAAAATGAAGTTACAGAGAAGCAGCAGTTATTTCTGAGTTCTGTTCCTCCCTTGTCTCTGCAAAGGCCTCTACAGCATCTGCAATGTCAGCAAAAGCACCAGTAGCCAAAAATATGTTATCAGTGTGTTTCTAGCTTTCTTCCTATATGGAAAGTTTTTCAAAATTGTAAACATTTCTATTGGGCCAGAAAGTAATGGTTAATTTTAAAATAAGCATCAGGTTAAATTTTTTGCAACTAGGTTTTCTTGTGTTTATTATCGAGCTAATTGAGGTTGGTCTTAAAGTTTTATTGTAAGGGACAAAAAAGTCTTAAAAAGCCTTAAATTTAACTTGTCTTTTGTTGTAGGAACCCTGTAAATGCATGATCAACAGTACAGCTAAGGCTGAATGCTAGACAGCACAAATCCTGTTTACTGACAATTCATTTAGAGCTAAAATGCTTTGTAGACAACAGCTGCATGTTAAAACAAACAGGGATGCTACCAGAACATAAATTGGAGAAATAAAGTGTAACATGTCAGATTTACTAATACACTGGACTTCAATGAAGGAAAGATTAACAGCACTTAGCGTGAATTCTGGGTCGGTTAATTCCTCTCCAGATTTCTACCTCTGTCTTATGGCTTAGCGTCACTCTCATCCCTTAATATTAGTAAACGTGTCTCATACCAGTAAAACACACTTTTTATACCCATAACCCACAATGAACTGGCATATTGTTTTTTTTTTTTTTTTTATATTTGAATGAATTTCAAATAGAAATTTATTCAAATCGATCCTAAAATGTTTAGATTTAATCATCTATCAGGGAGGGTCCTACCTCTAGCAGTCATTGATTGAGAAAAGCAGCACAAAATCTGGCAAATTGTTACCTTTTTATTTCAGAAAATGTGAAAGATTCATATTTTTTTAAATCAAAATGTAAAATTATTCTATTAATAATAAATATTTTTCTTTTTTTAACCAGGCAGTGTGTCTGATAATATTCAGAGCTCCTTTCTTAACCTCTCTACTCTGTGATGTTTTCTCTCCTGCAGATCGGAGATTCATGAGAGCTGAACCTGGAAGCAGCGTCACTCTGCCATGTAGACCAGCTGAGAACAAAACTGTTAGATATGTAGCGTGGACCAGAACTGATCTGAAAGATGGAATGTATGCTATTTTGTACAGAGATCCACATGTTAATCCAGACGATACATGTGGATCCTTCAAGAACCGAGTGAATCTGAAGGACGTGACGAATAGGGATGCTTCTTTGATCCTGACAAATGTGACGGCTGCTGATACAGGAACATATGAGTGTATAGTTAAGTGGGAAGGAGATCAGTCAGACTCTAAGATCATCAGCATCATTGGTCTGAAAGTTAAACCAGGTGAGTCTGTTTGTCTCTGGATCAGAACCTCCAGCAGCTTCCTGGTTTTGGATGTGAGAGAAAAACATCTTAGATCAGGTGTTTCCTTTCCTTTTAATGAGGGACTCCATATGGGCTCTGACTAAGCAGGACACAAAAAGAAAACATCTGCTTGTCAACGTTGATGTAGATGAGCTTAACTCCCTTCTGCCTGTTGCGTTAAACTCAGACATTGGAATGCTGGGATGTCTAACAAAAGGTTACACGAAATATGAATGTGGGCTATGGTGAGCAAGATTTTAAAGTGTTGATGACAAGATATTGATTTAATGTAATATTACATTAAAATCATGCAGCAGGGCAAACTGGGTGGTTCTAAGTCATTATGAATCAATCAGGCTTATTTTAAACATAGATCCTACATTTAGTAACTCTACAGCAGCAATCTGATTAACAGCCAGTAAAAAACATCTCTGTCAGAGGGAAAACATTTGTTTGACCTAGTTCAGTGTTCTGTAATGGAGATTGATGGATATGTAGATTGTTCCAGACCATCTAGTCTGTAAATGGTTTGTGTGTTTGAACCATCAGACAGTTTAAGCTCAGGAGAGGATAGTGATGCTGAGTAACATGGAGGCATCACAGCTTACATCTCAGAACCACTGAACTCTATTTATTCACTGGATTGCTGATTGCCCATTGGTAGTACAGGGTTAAAGTGAAGCCACCGGCCTTCATATTGGTACTCCCTAGTTAGACCGGTTGCAATGTAAACAATATGTGCACAACATGTGATCAACAATGATTTTCTAATTTTCAGGGGGACTTAATACTGTATATGTACACACACACATATATATATGCTCTAATATGAGTAGCCTTTGACTTTTTGTTTTTTGATAAAGATACTTCTTTGGATAATACGCCCCCTCAGAAAGGATTTGAAAGCATCCCATATTACCCCTTGGTCTTCTATAGAGCATTTATTATATTCTCAGAATTCCTGCATCTCAGCTTTAAATTACAATTATCTTCCCTGTTCAGCATACTATTGTTAAAACGCCATCTCATGCTTTTTTCTGCCCTATCTAGAGGATGGAGTACTATATCCACTGGTGTATGGTCCGATAGCACTATATTTCCAATTGTAGATCTCAGCACCTGACTGACCATCTCGCGGGATTGAAGAATGTAATCTATTCTAGAATAACTTGAGTGGGAATGTGGTAAAAAAGTAAAGTCCCTTTCATTTGGATGCAATAATCTCCAAATATCGACAAGACCCAATTCTTCTGACAATATTTCAATTGCCGCAACAACATTACTGTTGGTTTGAGTAGCTTGATACGTTTTATCCATAGTTAAATCCCTCACTTGACTAAAGTCATCCCCAATAATTATATTGTTATTCCCCATATTTCTAATTAGGTTACATATTTCATGAAACAAGTCTGGGTTGATCAAATTAGGAGCATAAATATTAGCGATACTCATCCTTTGACCCTCTAAAGTTACATCCAGTATAACTCATCTACCTTCTTTGTGTGAGACATGTTTATGTACCTGGCGGTCTATATTTGTCCTTATTAAAATACTCACTCCTCTTCTCCTTGAAGAAAATGTGCTATGATATTCCTGTCCAGCCCATTCCCTTCTTAGTTTTGGTGCTTCCTCATCACTGAGGTGAGTTTCTTGAATGAGGACTATGTCAGCCTTTTTTTGAGTTAGGTATGTGAGTTTTTTTTTTCTTTTAACCATGTTATTACACCTTTCTATATTCCAAGTTACAATTGTACACAGCGTCATATTGCTCTCCTAGTATATTATCATAGCACCATCCCTTTATATAATGTCCTAATATCTTCGTTGCCCGTCCTCTGATAGTATAAGTATTTCATAACACAGGTGTACAAGTATTACATCTACATGAGACACCTAGGGTTACACACTGAGCAAACAAATAAAAACTTAGAAATGCACTGCAACAGCAGACCACAAACAAGTTACATTCCAACATCAAACCTTCCTGTATGATTCCCTCAGCCGTACCTCAGAGGCCAGCCAATTCACCATTCCCCCATGTTTTTAAGTATAATTTCTAGTGATTGCAATAATCATGTATGTTATGAGGCAAATATTTACAGAGTGATTCTCTCAGAGCTTCGATTTACAGGTGCGATATTGTGTGCCAACTGTAAAATAAACACGGAGCGGCTACAACGAGAAACAAAGGAGCGTGCACCAACTTATCATGAAAAGAAAACAAATTATTCCTTTAAAAAAAGTATCCAGTAATCAGGAATATTACCAGTCAATCATCCAGAAATAACTCCACTCCTTGGAGCTCGGCCCAGAGTCTGTTAAGTCTGTTAAGTCGTATCATCACCTCCGAGGCGGGTGAGAAATGCCTTGCAGCAGATTTGAACTCGTACCGCTGGTTGTTCAATGAGAAAGTCTTTGACGCCGGATAATGGAGAGCATATTCCATATACGTTTACGGAGAATTTGTCTCCCCACCTCTTATTTTATGCGATTCTCCTGTATCTCTTGAGAATAATCTTGGAAGAAAAATATTCTTGTACTGTTCTGGGTGACTTGTTTCTTCTTTCTCACCGCCATTAACACAGCGGCATTGGCCTTGTCCCTTAGGAACTGGAAAGTATGTCTTGACCTGGCACTGTGTCCCGGTCGGGGGCCAACCTGGTGAATCCTATCAACTTTATACCAGTTGTCCACATTAATATCCAGTGCCAGGATAGCAGCGTTTTCATAAAGCCATCAAAGTCACGGCACTCCATCCCTTCTTTCACCCCTGCAATAGGTATGTTTTGCCGCCAGGAGAAGAAACCTTCCAGCACTGTTATCTTTTCCCTCAGTATGTTATTTTGTCTCTCTAGGCCGTGCACAACCGGGGCCCTTTTTGCCTCTTCATCTTCTAACTTTGATATTCTGGACTCTGACTCAGTAATTCCAATGCCCAGACTTTTCACTGTTTTGTTCACCACCTCCACTCCTCTTTTAACACCAGAGACTTTGTGAGCTAGGGTCTCGAGGACGGTCTTGATACACTGCAGTTTAGTCCGCCATCCTTGTTGGGTCCACTGTTTTCTGGGTTTTTATTACATTGATTTTGAGGCGCGTTGCGGTTAAAATAATGGCTTTCTACCGACCTGTTACTCTAAGGCAAGGCAAGGCAAGGCAAATTTATTTGTATAGCACAATTCAGTACAAAGACAATGCAAAGTGCTTTACA